GTTAATAAAAGACGTTGGTGAAAGCAAACAGCGTTGCTAAAGGTTTTGCTGTTACAGGTGCCTTTGAACATAATTTTTTGTTTCTACCACATTGCACAATATTGGACTGCAGCTCTTGATGGCTGTTGTGCCTCTGCTGGTTTCTGTTTAGAAAACAGCAGCCCAGAGAAGCAGTATGAAAGCATGTCCTTTGAAAGCATAATGCTGATTTTAGTGATGATAATGAAAGAACAGCCAGTTCCATTGTAAACTCAGATAAAGCTTTCTAAGATTGCAATCAGATACACCTGGACAGAGAACGTATGGGTTTGGTGTTGCTATTAATTTACTATTCAACATTAAAAGTTGTTTCACTGTAGGGGCAGGGAAAAGATTTGATCCAAGTTTGCAACTGAAGATTTTAATTTACTACTGCTGGCAGCAGTAAAATTCTTCTCTTTAGCAATGACCTGGTCATTTTGTAATTGGTCTTGTTTTGCTATAGTTGTGTACTATTAAATGCTGTCTAGCAGAATCCCAGAGATTGGCTTTTGCTTTGTATTTATGGTAAGCTGGTCTCACTCTCTCAAATATTCATGAGAAGGTGGATGTGAAAATTCATTCTTGGGAATGGAGCCATGGGCTCGTGCTTGTGGGAACGCACTTGTCCAGGGCACTGGGATCTGCTTCAAACTCCAGTTGCCCTCATGTCCAGGGATGCAGGGCCTGAGGGATTGGATTTCCCTGTAGGTTTGCAGTGACAGTTTGGGGTGGCTTTTTTTCGTTTCAGTCCTTGCTGGAATGAGCAAGAGCCCAAAACACTGCAGGGTCACCGAAGTGTGTCAGGACAAGGAAATGCAAAAGCCAAGGAGCTTCTCCTCCTTGGAGTTCCCTTGGAGCCCCTTTTGGCTCCAAATTCCTGGGCACAGATAAGGAGAGGAGTGACCACAGCCCTGTGTCCCTGCAGAATCCATCTCCTGTACAGTCCCTTTCCTTCAGAGGAATTTGAGGAGGACACAGGGAACGCTGGTAGCAAACCCCCTGAATCCATCCTTTGATTTCACCCAGGTTTGTTAAGACATAAATGCCCCAAATGTGATTTTTCTAAGAATAATCTTGACTTATGCAACTAATCCAATTTGTATTTTGGTTGGGCTTTTTTG